CTGATGACGGAGGCAGTATGACCTCTGAAACGTTGGTTAACATCGACCAGACTACACAGCGCAACAACCCAGAAGACAGAAATCTTCATACTCATCGCCCTGATGACGGAGGCAGTATGACCTCCGAAACGTTGGTAAACATCGACCAGACTACACAGCGCAACAACCCAGAAGACAGAAATCTTCATACTCACAGCTGTGAAAATCTCAAATCTTACATAGTTCCATTAAGCATATTGACAGAATGTAAAGACACAGACTTCCCCCAAGAATTCAAAAATCACAAATCACAGAGATTACAAAACGCAGGACGACATCGAAAGAAATTTCGGAACGAATGAGGCCGAACCGGTTCAACCACAGATCTTCCATATGATGCCTCCAACAGCAATGCGTAGAAATCATTACAACTCTTTCGGGATTTTAACCGTTGTTGTTTCAGAATAATTTATTAGGACGCTTAAAGTTCAACAGAAACTTGATCTAGAACAGCGGTTCTCACAAAGTCCAATTTAACACATTAAATGTACCACAAACCAAATGCGTTCAGTGAAAACTGTCATTTATGTTAATATTAACTTGTTATTTTCTTACTTAATTCGCGTACCACCAATGGTACGCGTGCCATAGATTGATAAACATTTCTCTATACGAACAAAACAACTCTGGTTTGTCGTATTTTATAGTTATTATTGCGAAGGGACCAGACCATGTGCAACGTAGATCTCCGGCCACTAACGGGTTCATTGTCCCTCTCGTAGATGACAGAGAAGTGAATATTTAACACCAGTGGAATGATACTCACAGGGGAAAACCTAACAATTCGTATAATAACCTGTCCCAGTCTCACGTAGTCCACCACAAATACGACATTAACTGGCCTGGTCGCGAACTCGACCCTTCTACGTGTGACAAAGCACTCTGAGCACACTTCAAGATACATTTCGCAGACGATTTAACACCCCTTCAAGCTTAAAAGATATCGGCTGTGACATTTCAGTGTAAAATCTTTAAATTTCGTGATATGTGACGTCATGATGAACAAAGGGGGTGTGTTGTCCGGTGGCTGTAGTCATTTGTTTCCCCGTGACAGCCTTCCACCTGTTGCGGTGAACTGCCCCGTCGCGGGGGGAAGGAGGAATGAGGTGCGACAGAGTCATGGAGATGTGGAACAGTCAGTATCTCTGCGAGCGTGGTAAGCGAAGGATGTGAGCGCGGTGTTTCTCTTCTGTTTGGAGTCAGTGAGAAGGGTATAAACTCCCTCATTGAGCCTGGAGGAGAATTCTGTTCAGAGTCCCGGGATCATAACAGTAAGTCACCTGCTATATTTCCTACAACATTAACAGTAGTATAATCTTGACGGCAGGATCTATTTCATTACGTATTATAAAAATAATTCTGCGATAAAGAATTTGTTAAACAACAAAGCTGTCAGTCACTATAGAGGATCGTAAACGCATGAAAATAACGTTATTAATAATTGATTTTGTGTACTGTGAATAACAATACTTCCATTTCCGTCAAAATTCGACAGACTTTTATAACAGTACTTTTTAAAAGGAGATTTAAACTAATTAAGTAAGAACCGTGTTTATTAATACACGCCCATCTGACATTTCTGTCTGTTATAGACACTGGGGTTATATTTAATCCGCCCCTGGTGATGGCAAAATCTTTGACTTGTAATTCTAAAAATGTCAAAACATTGACATTCCTCCCGGTCATATATATATTAATTATCCGAACAGTCTAACCGTGACACTTGATTAAAAATTCAATTTCAATGGAGGAATAAGAAATTCTGTTATATTTATAAATACAAGTAACAAATGTTTTAATTAGGTTATGTCGAACGAGTAACCGCAGGAAAAATCCCACTTTAAAGGTAGATTTGTGGTGGCAGTACTGAATAGTTGCTGCAGAATTGTCGTTTGAGTAGCCTGAATTTCATTATCACGATACAGAAGTGAATTGTTTAACGGTGTAAACATTCCTGGACTGAAACAACGTGATTCGAAATTAATGGTCACACGGCACTGATTTACAGAATAAATTGGAGTATAAGTTACAAGTTTCTGCTTAAAAGGTATGAACGTAAGGCATAACTTAGGTATATTTATTTGGATTTGAAATTTATGCTCAGTGAATTTATAGAATTCAACACATAATTTGTTTGCTGCATTTGTTGTCATTTGCAGACGTAACATATCAGCCAGCCTATGTGACTAGTGTAAACTTCTGTCAACTTTTTTATCCTTCTAATTTTATATTTTCTTCTGGAATTTCTAGTAAGATGATGTCCCCCCCCCAAGTCTGCAGCTTCCTAATTAATAAGCCCACCCTTTGAAATAATTTCTAACTAACTAACTAGATGGCTTACCGAACCCGAAGGTTCATCACCGAATTAACCAAAGCCCTCCACCGGACCCTGTCCTGGGCCAACAAAATCCAGTCTCCTTCAACTCCTATCTTCCGTAGATCCCGCCTGAGATTATCCTCCCATCTACGTCTAGGTCTCCCCAGAGGTCTCTTCCCCTCAG